TACAGCTAAAATTCCCAACTCCTGTAGAATCAGTAACCAGAAACTTCACCAATGCCAGCGCCAGATCCGATACCGTAGTTGGGTCTCCGCTGCACCCTGGGGCCGATTTATACGAGACACTTATGATTATCGTCGCCATTAGAAAGCGTGCGGCCGAGAGCGCGTAGACCGCCCGACCGACGCCACTTGCCAGCTCCGTGGTGACCCCTGGTGACCTCAGGTGACCCGTGGGGACCTTTAGGGACCTCTGGGGACCTCCGGGCACTCGCCGTGATCCGGCCAACCCCGGCGGGCGCGTAACCTCTCGAGTTCGCGCTGGGTCACCACGTAAAGACACATCGATGCATGCGTCGATAGCAAGTAGGCACGACATTTACTGGGTCTTTCGGCAGGATAGGCTGGCTAGACTTCAGTGGCGATTGAATGATAAACTCAATGGTCTCTCAAACGACGAACACAATGCATCGTTTAGCGGAGTTTGGGACTGGACGAACTTTACGATATGGTAATGGGGAGTAAGGGACAGCTTGTCGGTGGAATCCTCAGGGTGATGGTGTATTGTCTCTATTCGAAGGGGTTCATTAGATGGGTGATAAGTGCGTGAAAACACCGGTAAAAGGAACAATGTGCCATAGACCAGTTAAATTACTATTCCGGCATTGTCAGTTCGTTAACGATTTGCTGGATAAGCAAACGTACATTCTACTCATATGGTAATTTGTTGGCTATTTTGTGTTGAAAATGCTTCGGTGGTGTGTTCTTTTACACGTGTCCATTATCGCCTTTTTCAGCTTCTGTGAAACCCATCACACCTTTTTCTATGTTGGTTCATCTTTTTTACTTCCCTCGCCACTTCCTGTAGGCTCGCCTTCGCCGGTGAGAAAAACACCTCTTCCCTCTCCTCCTAGACCAGCAGAAGCCCTAATTACGTGCTACCAAATCAACAGCGGCCCTGTTTCCCCAATCACAAGGTCACATTCCAGGGCAACTTCTGGTCATCACAGCTTTGCTGTTTTTCTGCTCTCCCCGAGGAACGCATAACGCCGAGCGTCTGGCTGCACATAATTCGTATAATTTGGCAGCACCACCGGTCATATGGTAGCACTGGCGGCGGTCGGTGTGCTTTCTGCTGACTGAAGTCCTGCAGGGGAGGTAGTCCGCGTGAAAACAGCACTCGCCCTAATTGGGCAATTGGGGATGGTAGAAAACAAAGCCGTGGCTCTCAGGCCGTATAATTCTGCCGTGGGACACTGACGGACCCCGAGGCGGAAAGAAGCGACGTCGGGGCTTCAGTTCGACGTCGCATTGAATAGCTAATTTTCTGTGGATTTAATGGGACAGTACGTGGCCTTATTTGAGGTTCGCCGTGTGAAAAAGTGAAGCTCGTCCCCGTTGAAACCGTCTTACGAACACGATTTTCGATTAGATTGTATTTAAATAACAGCTGTTATTTAATTTATTCCTGTTAACAGGAATAAATTAAATAACTGGATTAAATTTAATTATATGATTATACTCCAGTGCCTCTATATTAGGGCTGTAGTGTAGCTATGCTATTTCAATGTAAAGCTTCAATTCCTTTTGAATAGCGCTGGCCGCTGACATGATGACACATGACGATCGCCAATAAAGGAGCGTTTATATTGCCAACATGATATAACTGTCAGGTCATTCGTGCATGAATGCCGTTCATACTCGTGGCGTACCTTTTCCGCCTTCTTGTGGGTTTATTATTTTAATTAAAGCAAACTGATAGAATACCAACCACACATGATTAATTGCAGGGGAATTTTGTTAGCCTCTGACCCCATAATTTACGATGCAGCATTAAGCATACCGCGCGAGGTTGTTTTCGCAGGCATACATCATAGACATCAAAGGCGGTAGTGGCTGCAGGTAAAATATGAAATATATTTAGTTATTTATGGAATCGAGTAAGATGTCCGTGAGCTGTTGTGACGCTGGTAAGCAGTAGGGCAACGACCCTTTCATAGAAGCTGTCAGTTATATTTTGACAAAACAATGCCTACTAGATTGTTACATTGAATATAAAGTTTAACCAAAATGACCGAGAACGACTCAGAAGACTCAGAAGTTTTTGTGGCCATCTTAATAATCTAATATGAACATATTGTAGCTGTTGTGGGGAGGAAGGGGGGAGGAGGGTGAAGCATTCGGTAGTAACTGGAGACTTCTGTGCAAGCTAAGCTCAGTCTTGCTCTCGGTCCGGTTCAAAGGCTTAGCCGCCCGCCCCCCCTCCCCTCCCCTCTCCTTCTAGCCGCTTCACTATACTGATCAATCAAGTGAACCATTCAAAATCCCAAACATTTTGTTTTTATCGTGAACTAGAGCATACAAGCTTGTTTGACCCATGCTCCGCAGAAGCGTTTTGTCTCAGAAGCAGAAGTGTTGCTCTGGCCGTGAACTCTACGTCTCAAACCTCCCTCCCCGCCCCACCCCGCCGCTCCAGCCCGTAGCCGCGGTTGGTGCCTCTCGTCCCAGCCCGCAGAGAGCACGTGCCCGCTCTCTCTCCCTCTGTAATTACCCAGACATAATGACAGGAAACCACAGCGCCGGGCGGAGCGGCATTAACCGTGCCCAGCGCTCAGCGACCAGACTTGTATGGCCAGATTTACCCTCAGGGTTTCGTGCGAGAGTGTGTGGAAGTAAGGCGGTGAAGGAAGACACTGCTAAATCGGTAGCGTGGCCTGAGGCGTATGCTCAGCTGTCTGCCTCCCCCCTTCCCCCTCTAACCGTCGCGCCCGCACGAGCTTGCTCGGGGGGGGGGGGGTAACAGCTGACAAGCGAGTCACGTGGTGCCCAGACGCTTGCAATCTGGTCAACAAATGGAAGGGGGAGGGGGAAGCGATGAACTAAACGGTTGCAGTCTGCCATGCCTGTGTGGGGTGGCGGCTATGTCCAGGTGGTGTGGCTGCGGGCAATGATTTGAACCGACTTCCTCGAAGATGTGCGAATGTTCTGATTTTTTATTGATGCGTTTTTTTGTCAGAACTGAGAACGCTACTCAGTAAGCTGGCACTTTGTTGACCATTGAACTTCATTGGGGATGTGCGAATTTTACACAGCTTGGCCTATGTGCTGCTTCTTCGATTTCCTTTTCCTTATGGTAACATAAGAATTTAAAGAACATGATTGTCCAACCTGAGTTATAGCTCCGACGGAATGGGAAAGAAAGCGATGCCGTAATTTCTACGCAGTTTTTCATGCATCAACAATAAACAATGTGCCTTGACCAGTACGGACATGGTACCAATGCACTTTCTGATAATAATTATGCGAGATCCACGACCCCAATATGTAGATGGTGAAACCTTTGACCGTAATTTCCGATACACGTTTCACCGTTGTCAAATGTCATGTTTACGTTGAGTTAAGTGAACATGTAGACTAAGAATAAACCAACAACGAACTTCTGAATGCATAAACTTGTCACGGTGGTTGCAACTTGCAAGCATAGCCCAAGTGAAGATACGATCAATGTGGGAAGCTGCGAGTTATGCGACCACATATCTGAGGTCATAAGCCACATCACACCAACAACGAGGTGGCAGTAACAGCAGCACAATTTACTGTGCTGCATTTTACAGTTTACAAAGCTGCCTGGGCCGTTGCTTGAGTCAGGCAATTCAGATTGGTTTGACACCCACTAACGTCATTGACATGTGACTCCCAATCTACAATTGACCTCTCGACTCACAGATCACATTTTATGGTGACTCTCTTGTGATGGTCTCTAAGCTCTATGGTCATCTCTCGTGTTGACCTTCAAACGTTTAATTCACTTCTCTTGGCGACCTTTTGCTGCTCTAGTGAACAGATCAGCGACATCTTCCCTCTCTCCCTCCGACTAACCGCCCAGACTAGCCTGGCGTACGGTTTGACCCCAAGTGGCATAGTTTCATTCCGAGAAGGCTCGCATACGAGTGCACTGCTCGCACCGCGAAAGCTGAACGAGTAATTGCGGGCCAGCGGGAGGCTCCTGCTGCTGCTGCTGCGGCGGCGGTGGAGGGGGCCGGGGGGGGGGGGTCAAAGTGGGTATGAGGGTGGGATGATGGTCCAGAGGTCGTGGAGCAAGCACAAGGTTGCGGTGACGCATGCACGCACTTTGGACACGGCACCTCACAAGGTGTCTCACGCAGTGAACAGTTGAACAATTGCACAACTGTGTTGGGGAATTAGGACGGTGCTCTACATAGTTGTCACTGGCAAACCATGGGAACCTGCATGGCTTGAGATGTGGACCATGTGGGTTTGAGGCGTGGATAAGCTTGTTAGTTATCCCCAAGACACGGTTGTTATGAAAGTCTTGAGTGGGTTGGGACGAGGCTGTAGCGGGTAGAGGCTGGGGGGAGGGGATGATAAATTGTATAACTGCGGCTGATGGGCAGCGGCACAGTGGGCCAATTAGACTAATTACATCCGTGTTCTATGCTCTGCTGGGATGGCTTATGAAGATGTTGTTGCGAGAGATGATGGTGATGAACACGAAGATGAAGTTTGGAGCTGGAAAAGAACGCAACTTCATTATGGACAAATAAAACTAAATAAACTATTGTAACCATTTTCCTTCATCCTAATCTTACCATTTCCTCGTCTGACACACAAGAGGATATAATTTGTAGGACGGTGCAAATGTCGAAAATCTTGGGTTATAAAACGCCTTTTCGGGTCGCCGCCGTGTCTTACCTACAGCACTGCTAGCCTCACTTCAAGCTTGGAAAACTTTCGTGTTTTGACACACTGATGACATTTATTTTCAAATCCGCCCGGGAAATAGCCAATGAAAGCCTAAATGTAGCGCGACAAAAGTGCGGTCGTACTATTTCCAGAGGTCAACTATAGGTATAGTCTGCAGTTTCGTGTCCTGCCTACATTTATGGAAATATGTAGCCACGTGGGTACATGGGTATAGACGGGTAAACGGGTACCTATAAACGAATCTTCGTCACCGATCTGACTGTTTTTCTCCTTTGTTCCAGTGTCGTCGGTGCTACAACGCACCGTGAGCCTCCGACGGAAGATGCGGGGCAAGACACGAGACGAGGGGATGAAGACGGGCTGGCTGTACCGCGGTCAGCGCGGGCCGCTCTACGATACAGTGCCCCGACCCAGCTCCGCCGACCAGACACAGGTGCTGCCACGTCGCGGCCGCAGACGGAACTACGGCGTCACCAAACTGCCGCCAGAGGACAGGGCAGTCGAGGACTGTGTGTCGCGTTTCGCTGAGCGATATGGACCGGTGTCGGTAAATGGAACGATGCCACATCCACCTGTGGATTCGATATGGGTCGGTCCACCGCGTAAAAGCTGGCATGGGGATGATTCATACTCGCCACATGAGGACTCGCTCGACCGAGGCGACACCTATGATAATGCCTTCTATGACGGCGATGGTAGCGTCATCTACAATCCCAGCTACACGGAAACCTTGCCAAAGCCTGGTGCTGCCATCTACGCCGACTCCGGGGCTACCACGCAAGTTTACGTGAATGGGGTCCACGTGCTATGTATGAACAATGAGCCCTATAACGAGCGAAATATCGACGAGGAGATCGCTGCACGATCTCGAGACGCTCCTGACGAGCCCCCGTACGCCCAGCCCCGCAAACTAGCACAACGAGACCTCTGTAACAACTGGATCGGACGGGAATCGAGCCCTCGGCGGCGCAGTCATAGCCCGGAGCCAGAGCCGGTGCTGGGACCAGAGCCGGAGCCGGGCTACTGTGTCATGGTACCGGTGCGCACCCCCTGCCCCGCCTACCGTCCCCCTCCAGAGGTCACTGTGTCCTCCCACCGACCTGTGACGTCATCCAACTGCTCCCCCGCCTCCTCCGACCTGCCACCGCTGACGTCACAGTCTCCACCGATGACGTCACATACTCAACTAGCCTCATTACCACACGAGCCTTCAAACACCCCAGCGGATTCCTACGCCTGCCTGCGACGAAGTTACACAAACTTCTACACGGAGGACGAGCTACGAGGGTTGGTGGACAGTTCCGATCGAGACACCATCCCTCGCGGAGGTGACAGTAGGCGTGACAGCGGTGGCAGCGGTGACAGCAATGACAGCGGGGGCGGACAGCGCAGGAAGCCGGGGGTGGCCTCTGGACGCTGGGCGGCCCGACTCCGTGAGGGCAGCTACGCCAGGAGGAAGGCCAGAACTCGCAGCGTCGATAGGGCTGTTGGAACGGACAGGTGAGGCGATATGAAAGGGAAATAAGTTATAATTGAGATATTTTTCTTATACCATTCTGTTACTGAGGTATTCAAATTCAGCCAATCATATTTTATCAACTTTAACTGCATGCTCCTCATGGCCGTTTTTCATTTCTGATGTTGTCATGTTCCTTTTTGGCAGGCTAGGTTACTTTAGTGCAGTCGTTCGTAGCGGACAAAATGAGATTTCCGACAAGCAAAGATAGTACGTTTTATACTGCTTTGAAAATAAAATGGGATATGAATAATGGTGAAGAACTTACCAACAACAAACGATGAGATCGAACCAATCAGTGTCTATGGAGTTAATATGTCTCTATTTTCCTCCTCAGGAGTTCGGAGGAGTGTCCGGAGGAGGCCGGTCTGAGGAGGAGGAGGCGGTCCGGGTCAGCCGAGCCGTGCCAATGCTCGGCCTGCTCCGAGGAGCACTCCTCACTGTCAGGTCAGTCTTCAGAGGAGGAACGTACGAACGGCTCTCTCTCTCTCTCTCTCTCTCTCTCTCTCTCTCTCTCTCTCTCTCTCTCTCTCTCTCTCTTTCTCTCGGTCTCAAAGAAGAGCACTAGCCTCTTCTAAGTAACTCTAGAATCTGAATGCCGACTAAGCCACCAGTTTCAGTCGCTGAACAACCCTAGCGCTCCCTCTAGGCTAGAGGCTCAAGCCGATCTTTACCTTAGCTTCGGATGGCTCTCACTAGGTGGCAGTAAATATCACCCATTTTCGAGCTACCGATGCGTCAGTACGGTCATTAGGGTCAGGTATGTGCGTCATAGGGAGGTCAGCAGAGGCCCTGTTATGTGAATCATTAGCTCACATGATGACCAGTTGGCTTCCACTACGAGCGGAGAAACTAGAGCGACTGGCCGGCAGTTCCTATGGACAATGGACAGTCGATAGGGCAACGAGGTATTTACAGTGGTTGGTGAGTGGCTAAGGCTTTAGCCCATAGGCAGCGGAACGGGGAGGCCGGAGGGCACCGGGGCATCGTGCCCCCTGGCCCTTTGATTTTGGCATTTTAACATTAGCCCTATGGGCGTTGCATGGAAAGAATGGGACCAAAAGTCGGCAGTGCCCCCCCCCCCCTCAATTGAAGGTGTTCCGTCGCTGCCGCTTTAGCCGAACTTCTGGAAGATTTTTGTATGCATCCCACAGCTACAGATTTATATCTTTTCTGCGATTTCTTTGATTTGCTCTCCGCTTTTGCTGGGTCAAGGTCCTTTATTCGGACTAATAAGCAATGTAAAGGCCGCGTACAGGGACGGGAAGATAAGGTTGGCATTTGGTTCGAAAACGGTCGGTGCACTCCAGCTTCGACTTGACCCCTGCCTCTCGCGCTGTTTTGGATAGACTTTTGAACAGTTCGATGGCCAGTAGTCGTCCGGCGGAGGGTATGCTCCTTTGAACCGCCCTCCACGGGTTGTCTGTGAGGTCAGTCGCCAGTTCGTGCAGGGAACTGGATTAGATGGTGAAGCTGGATGAAAAAAAACAGCTGGTTCTGATGGTGAAGACTAAGAGGACGGATCATTCGGTTTACTTCATTTCACTCCTAATTTGTATTCAGATTCGGTTCAGCTGGTTATTGGCCTGCTTGTTTTCCGGCCGATCAGCTTCCGAGTATATGCTTTGCATTTGTGATTTGCACTGCACCTGCCCATCTCGATATTCACGGCGTTTTTGAGACTGTGACCGCGAATCTAAACTTTTGGAGATCACTCTTCTTTTTCATCCTCACAGCCAACCCATTTCCATTAATCTTTCCATAATCGATCTCCGGTAAGAAATCTGATCAACGTTTCGGAAGCCATTCGACGAGCCCAACAATCGTCTCCGCTCTTTCCACCACTCTCACCCACCTCCCACTCTACCTATCATCCTATCCCCCCTCTTCCCTCCCATTCTCTCTTGGTCCACTCATTTGTCCTTCGCCCTCCTCCTCGCTCTCTCCTCATTTCCTCCTCTCTCTACCCTCTGTCCACCGGGCCCGGTCGGGAGCACCAAGGGTGTAATTTGTTCACATTCCAGCCGGAGAGCGACCTTACGGTCGGTGCGGCGGGCCGGTCGGCCAACGCACCTCGGCCCATTTGCATACTGAGGGTGCCCGTCGAGCACGGGCGGTGGCAGCCGAGAAAAATACGGGGAGATGCTCCTAGTGTGGGCTGTAGTCCTCGGGAGTTGTACCTATAAGAAACACATGGGCGAAATTTCAAGTCTGTTCGTATCGATTTAGCGGATGTATTGTCTTGGAACTTTCGATGGATTTTAATCGGAACATGATCGCTATTTGTCGATATTTGTATTAACCATCGAACTACTTGGTTCAAAAAGGCTGATCATAACTGCACCATTCCGTCATTTCCATCCTCAGGATAGTCAAAGCCTTCTCCTCCATGCCTCAACCCATCTTATGCGGGAAGCTCCCATATAGCCGAATAGCCGTATAGCCGTATAGCCGAATAACTACGCATCGAATATTATTGGCTTGACTAAGACTTGTTCCAGCATAATTAGGTAGTGTGAATGCAAGCAATGTGACTGCAGTTATTCAAATGTTACGCGGTCATAGCATGTCAGCGAGCTATCAGGTCAGGCTTTCCCGTAAGGTATCTTCTTCTGTAACTGTTCGGACTTTCAGCGAAACATCCCCAGGGCAAATGTCTAAGGAAGCATCTAAATTGACCAGAAAATGGAGCCTGTCTCGTTCGACAGCATTCCTTCCGTCTCAGTACTTAGGAACCGGCGTCTGTTGGCTGACGGCACATTCCCCTGTCTCAGAGCCGCGCTTAGTTGAGGATCCAGACGAGCGCGTTCAGTGATGAGACGTGGTCTGTAGGTTGGAGGAATGTTTGTGACCCGTGCCTCGATTATATGCTCCACTTAACGACGGGACAGGGGCGCAAACAGGAAGGGATTTTCGAGGAGAAAGAAGAAGATTGAGAGATATCTGTACGGTAACCATTGTAGCTTTTCTATAAAGTTAGAAGGTCGAGTTTATCCTCACTTCAATAGATGCAGGATGGATAGGTCTGTAGTTCGATGGCATAAACAAGCCCAGATGTCAGAACATTTCAGCACATTTTCAAACGTCGTCTTCTTAGAGGAACGAACAACTCCCAACAGCCCAGCCATCACCACATGCCCGCACTGATGAACCTCGCTAATCATGTGACCCACAGCTACGTCACTTCCTCCCTGCTCTCTCCCTCTCTCCTCCCTCTCCCCGGTCATCGGGAGACCACCCACACCGCCTGTCCCACGACAATCAACCCATTGAGCGTGAGAGACCTGTCACCAGCGCTTCCTCACCGGCCCGGAGTCCTCAATTGAGGACACCCCCGAGGGCAGAACTGAGTCGGAGGAGTGTTGAGAATTCGCGAGGACGATCGATAGTTTCGGAGAGTTTTGGTATTGGCGAGCTCAATGAAGGATTTCTTAGGCATTATAAGGGTCAGGCGCGGCTTATACCGGTATACGAGAAGTGTGAAATTTGTGGTGTGACTACAAAGTACAAGCAGTTTCAGATGACTACTAAGGGTTTTGAGATGACCACAGAAGGCTACAAATAGCGTTAGTCATGAGTTTAAATCACCGTTATGAGTTCAATGAACAATCCCCTCTCAAGGTATTTGAATAACGGCAACTCTAGATAATATCAGGGTGTTAACAGATCAACCAAACCGATGACTACAGATGACTTCGGACAGCCCCCCAGGACCTCGCCTTTTTCTCACTTCGGGCCAACCCCAACCAGCCTAACGCCTTCTCCAGTCTCCACCCAGCCCGCTTCCTGTTCCTCGGGCCACCACGAGTTCACATTCCGCTGGAGTGAAAACAAGCCCGTTTCGACATCTGGTGGACAACAGCTGCCTCCTCCGCGGCGGCCGTTAACAATCAGTGCACGAGTTACATCTGTTCAAGGTCAGGGTCAGTTCGCGCGCGCTCCGGCGCCGTTTGCGCGCGCCCCGACGCGAGCGGCGTGGTTGCCGGTCGCCGCCTTGTCCACGTCAGGGACACGCGGTGGGGTGAGGGGGGGGGGTCTAATTGGCCCCGATTGGAGAGACAGTTCTTACACCGCAGCCAGGTCCAGGTGTAGGATGAAGGTCGCTGGCCCCGTCCCGAGATGGCGATACGATCTGAAAATAGAGGGTTTCTCCGGTCGAGGGCCTGATTTGGTCAGGAAGGTACGGTGGTTGTGCGACTTTTTACGTGTTTGGTGGGGAGCTAAGCCTGCTTTAGCAACACGAAAGAAGAGAGCGGGATAAACCTATTTGCGGTGAGGAGATTCGTGCGGAGAAATTAACGAAATGATTACGTCACGTGGCAGAGTTCGTGGCCTGATCACGAATCACGAAACAATTCGTTTTCTCACTGTTGAATTTTGAGTTGGGTGTAGAACAGGTGAAGCAGCCTCGAAGTCATGTCGAAAGGTCATAAATCTGGTTCACCCCTACAGCGGGCTACACCCCTGCCCCTCCCTTCTTCCAGCCCTGCATCCGCCTCTGTCATTCCAGCGACGCATCGCCCGGAGCGGCGCCGGTGCTGCCGCCTGGTGTCAGCTCCGGGAAGCTCGGCTGGCAGCCGCGGCGCGGAGCCAGTGGTGCTAGCGCCCGGCCGCCGGCAGTGCGTTGGAGTCTCCGAGTGTTTTGTGCGCGGGTGAGCGCGCTCCCCAGCGTTAGGGGATATGTGAGCGTTTTGCGCGAGCGCCAACAGCGCCGCGCCAGTGTTTGGAAGTGTAGGAAGATATGGCCACACTGGGCCTGTCCAAGGTGTTCATTCTGGATAAATATTTCACCGAACTGCAGAAGTTTTGGGACACGGAGCGCAAATTGCAAGGTGAGTCAGTGGAATTTTATGGTGATGCTAAGCGCTGACGCTTACGAAAATATAAGAGTAACATTCATAAGGATAGCATGATCATAAATCATGAGTCTGAGTGCTCCCCAGAATTATTTCGTCCATAACACCGCTCAACTTTTGTCACCACTTATTTTGCATCCTTCGCCTATTAGCTTATATGAATCTTATGCCTTCCTCTATTCCTGGCCCATTTACTGTCTTTCCCACTGCACTAGCGGCACCGTTTTCCAGTCAGTTTCACTCGTATATTCGTCCCTCCTGCCCCCAATGTCACCTTGTCACTCCTCGCACCACGTGTTGACAGCCAGCCCCCTCCCTCCCCCCTACCGCACGAATCATCATCCACCTTCGTGGATCGGGAAGCCGTAGGTTCACTTCATCAGATCTCCTGTCGGATCAGTACGTGGGAGGTGTTGATTGGAATTCACTTCCCTGTCAGTCGGCCGATCGAGAGAAGTCCGAGATTGAAGAAGAGAGATCACCGCCCAGTGCCTATCAATGAAGAGATGATTTTGATGAAAGGCCCCAATCAGAAGTTAATTAGGGAGTAGGTAATGCGTTCTCGGAGGTGCCTGTACATAAGTTTGCTTCCCGTCCAAGTGTGTAATTTGACTGATCTTGGTGCTGGATATTGCGTTGTCTACAAGCGCTCTCGTTCCGATTTTGCATGCAGCATCATTGCTCGTATGTTTAAACGCCACTTCATGGTAAGACATCGTACGTCCTTACCTGATGTTTCGTTCTACGTAAGTCTGCGTCAGCGTATTTAGTCATCATGCGTGATATTTGCTTCTTCCAGCTAAATGCGTCATTGCTAAACTGAACCTTACTCAATAGCTGTCAATGTCTACGCATAAAAGCAGCTCTGCTTTATTATTCCCTGGCGATTTTGGTTACTGATCACTGATCAGTCATTATAACGACATCTTTTCCAGCACAGTCTTTTAAGTTGCGCAATAGCAAAATGCGTCATTCTACGACACAGAGAATCACACCAGCACTGTCTCAATCAAGGAGCTGGAATGTTTTCTCAAATGCCTGCATAATGTAAACTTAAGATCAGTAACGCTTCTGTCACAACCTCTGAGAGACCTGACATGAAGTTTCAATTCAGTCGACCCTTTGCACCCTCATTATCAGTGTTTCGCTGTTGGAGGAGACCGTTGACCTCACCAAAACGACGCAGCTAGCTCGTGGAATGTCACTCGGGTTACAACCCGCGATAAATACTCAGCGAATTGCCACATCACTACATGGGTGTTTGAGCCCAATGAACACGACATTACATAGTGCAGCTGTTCATGAGGAATGAACGATACACGTCTGAGAACATCTCAGCAGCTTTTCATGAGGAATGGCCGCATGCATCAAAACAGCTGTTTATGTGGATGAACGGGGTAGTACTGAAGATGTTCACTAGAAAGTAAGAAAACAATAAACCACCGCATCTTTCCGCTTGAAATCCATACTATACCACTACGACTACTCGCTGAGAGGAAACACCTTAGTTGCCCCAGTTGTTTGCTACAATAAGTAGTATAGTTGCTCACGTTTCTGGACAAGGAATCACCGCAGCTGTCCACGAGACTCGCTCTGTCCAAAAATAACATGTCACTGTCCTGTGACCTCACCTGACCTCACGTGACCTCACGTGACCCGTGGGTAACCTGACCGCTACTCACGGCGTGAAATGACCCCGGCCGCTATAGAGGTCACGTGGTTGACCTTTGATGAGCGCGCCGCCGGGCTGAACGATCATCTGTCGCATGGTGTGACCGATGGGTGGTGTTGTAGGTCAGCTTACTTCAGGTTTCCGATACAACTTAGTAGCTGACTTTGCTGGTGAATGTTCTTTTGGTTGGTATTTCTTATCTGATGAGATGTGTTATGACGCAACAATACTCACCAATATTTTACCTTGCTTTGATATTTATTTAGAAGTCATATGCCAACAGGAGATGTCGACATAAAGCAGTTTTGGATGTTGATTACGGGTTTGTTCCAGTCGCACTTCCTAACACCTCTTAACTCCTCCAAGACTGCTTCCCTGTTCCAGTGGCAGCTCTAGCCCCTACAAAGCCAAGGAGGGCCCTGCTCCAACCTCCTCTATCTTGCTCTTGGAGGAGTTTAGAGGCGTTAGGAAGTGCGACTGGAACAGACCCTACGTCTTCTTTTTCACTCGACAATGCAAAGTGTGGAGCGTATCGGGCTTTACCTGTACCTTTCTATTATGAAAACTTGATCTGGATTTCAATCTACCCACTTTTTAGCTCAACGTTCATGAGTTGTGGGCTGCCAGTCGCCTTGACCCTCCTATACCGCGTGGCCGGGGCATTTCCGAAGGCAGCTCAATCCCGGCTTACCGCTACAAAGCCCCGTCGCAAGATGGCTTTCAAAGCCACCTGTGCAGCCAGCGATGCGCGCCTGTCTGCACATTGTACAAGATCATAATTCACGATCATTTTTGTTATTTATTTCGTTTTATTTCGTCGAAAAAAACTTTGAAAAAATGTTCGTCAAGTTATGTCTGTCCGCTTCCTTGTCGGGAGATTTGAACTGCGATTGGTGGCTGGATTGTTATCTGCCCTCTGATTGGGCAGCGTCTCGTTGATCCTGCTCGTGTGACAGCAGTTGACGGCTGCGGTTTGAACTCGAGTCCGGTGGTCGGTGCACAAAGGCTGCGACAATAGATGACGACGGTCATCTTTGGGTTCATAGTTACTAGGAATTCGTCAGAGTGCGGCTGTGGTGACGTGGTTTCATAGCCAGACGTCAGGAAGTCGGATGATCCTCCTTATCTAATCGGTCAATTTGGTCAGTATTTTCAGCATTCTCTTAAAAAAGCAAAGTGCAGGTTTAGCATTCTCTTAAAAAAAGATGCCAAGTGCAGGTGCAATTGGAATATTGACTTCCCCTGAAAGTTATGTTTTCAAAGAACACGAAATCACTAACTGATAAT